TACTTTTATGCCAAACTAGAAAGGTGGCCCACGCGATGCATGGGCATCCGTATTATTAAAACATAATATTATAGTTTCTTCGAAAATTATATCTTATAAGGGCAAACTATAGGTTAGGCATATCTAAATATCATTCATCGACTTAGAGGATAGATCAAGGCCATATGACTTGGGCTTTTGGATCGAGTAAGTAAATATCATGTATACCATCTAAACACATATTGTACAATATTGTTATATGTATAAATTGTGAAAGCAATAAACTCAATGTTATTGTAATTGAATCGCCTCCTGAAGACACATGACTTAGTAACAACCAAATTAAGGATATATGAACAGTTGGATTGTTTTTCCCATTGTATAAGTTTAAAATTTTCATATTTTTCCATAGTTTTAAAGAATTAAAGGCTTTTCATGTTAGGACACAAATCACCTACGCAATTGCTTATTTTGGTAGTGCAAAATATCAGCAATTGTTCGAAGCTATTTTTTTCTTAATCACATGTTCGATTATTTTTTCTGAAATAATATTTGTTTGAAATAAGAGAGAAATTATATAAGTTTAATTAGTATGTGTAGCATTTATCGACAGTCATGATTACTTTGGCAATCACTTTTAGCTGCCTCAGGTACAACACTTTATCATATGCGTAGAAGGCAAATAAGAACACGTGCGTAGTGCGGAGGACTGAGAGAGGTCTTTAGAATTTTTTTTATTTTTTACTAAAGATAGATATTGTGACCTAATTAATTAATAGGTCTATTAGTTTAAGTGCAAATCGATGGCACAATATTAAAAATAGTATAAAATAGTGGGTCCACTAATATAAGCATAAATTAGTTAATATAGACCACAAATTGGTAATTTATTGGTACAAAATATATTTGTGTAACCTTTATTTTAAACCTGCGTGGTTTAATGTAATGGTTCTAAATTACAGGTACATTGTTTTAAGTAAAAATTATATTATATTGTTAATATAATGGGTAAAATAATATAATTCTATAAATTTTATTTCCAAATATTTGTGGATCTAATTTATTTACGTATATATATTATGATATATATAATCTATACCTAATTAAAAAATACGTAACGCTTCCAACTTCCCTTCGTCCGTCCTCCCCCTCCCTCCCCCCCCTCCCGCGCGCCTCCTCTTCCGCCTCTCTCCCTCTGTCCTAGCGCCCCCCATCTCTCCCCCTCTCCTGCAGCCCCTCTTCTCCCGTCTCCCTCCTTCCATCCCGGCACCCCCCATCTCTCCCCCTCCCCTGCAGCCCCTCTTCTCCCGTCTCCCTCCTTCCCTCCCGGCACCCCCCATCTCTCCCTCGCTACACACGCTCCCCCTCCCCCTAGACATCTCTTCTCCCAAGCGCTCCTCCTCTCTACTGCATTCCCTCCCTCTTGCGCATTCAAGAAAAAAGGAACTTCCTCATTCGGGAACACGTTTTGATGTACTCACTCGGCCGTGTTCACCACAAGAGCTCACCGTTACCATTTCTCTCTATCGGGCTATGTTGTTGTCGGCCGTGTTCCCATTGTTCTGGTTTTCTTCATTGCCAACTGCTACCATCTATGGATGAGTCACATTGTTGGACGCGCTCGGCCACCTTACTTTCGTTTGGTCGCTGGAGCATCGTTGCCCATCTTTCTTCCTCTTCTGTTTCTTGTGTTGGTTAGGGAAGACAATGAATAGTATTAGTCGGTTTTCCTGCGAATCCTCTCATCTAGAAAGTGTTTTGATGCACTCATCCGGTCATGTTCACTACTTGAGCTCGTCGTTATCGTTTCTCTCTCTATCAGGACCACCTCGTTGTCCCCCACCCAGCGCCCTGCGCCCCTCTTGTTCTGGTTTTCTTCATTGCCAACCTCCACCGTCTATGTACGAGTCACATCATGGGAAACATCCTACCACTTTCCTCACCATCGTGTGGTCGTTGGAGCACCGGCACCCATCTTCCCTCATCTTTTGTTTCTCACCTTGAGCTAGGGAAGACAATAAACAATGTCTGTTGGAATTATTCCTTTTTGTCTAGGCCAACCATGCTCCTGGATTACTCACATAATAATATTAAGACCATAAGAGTATGAATAGAACATGAAATTCTAAGTTATATCAATGAAATAGGCACCCATTTCAAATTAATGTATCATATTTTCATATGTGGGCTAAAAGAAGTTTTTTCAATTTCTAGCTAATTTCAGTTATTTTTTCATTTACAATATTAGTTTTAGCACTATTTGATCCACTAAAAAATATTATAACTTATAATTTTCTCTATATTAAATTATTTATAACTAAATAAGAAAATAGGATTAAGTTATATAATTTTTATGATATTAAATTATCGTCCCAGATAAAGTTATTTGTAGTTTCATGTTGTTATTTATGCGTTTATATTTCCTTCATCATTTATGCCCAACTATAATATATGATTTTGGGTTTTAATTTATGTCAATGACTATTATTTAAATTATGTTGTAACGCACAAGCATTATGCTAGTTATGTTTATAAAGTTACAATTCCTTAAAATTTAATATCACTAATTATATATACGGAGAAAAGAGGGAAGGAGATGGAAGCAGATGTAGTTTTTAATGATATATGTAATACATATTTTTATGTTTTACGATTTTATCTTTTTGAGTCGTATGTTGTAGTTGTATTTTTTTTTGGCTTTTTTAGCTGTTGGTAAGTATCTTTCTCTCGTCGAGATTAGGTGAGAGATTATTAATAGATTTTTTAATCTAATGATCTAAGATAATAGATATACTAATTTAAATAAAAATCGATAACCGGATGTTTTAATTTTATTCTCATATTTTCCTGAAATTTTTCTAATTTATTAAAGTGCATTTTTACAACTTAAAATATTAACAGTTAATATGTGTATTGAATTATTATGTTGGTTTTCTATCTCATGTAACCAAGAAGGGAAAAAGGAAAAAAATAGATTACGTATGTGAGATGTGGAACTTTTATTACGTGCAAATTTTTTACAGATAAACATAGGAAATATAAAATATATTTAAGTGTTAGCTAAAATAGGAGTAGTTAGCTAGAAAATAGGAAAGAGAGAAGGAGACAGACCGGAGGGAATGAGAGGGAGGGACCGAGGGAGTCCGTACTTGCGCATGCACGTTGTGGTGAGGCTACCCGAATTTTTTTCAAAACAGATCTAATGGTTAAAATATGGTCCATCGATTTAATGGAAAATCAATGGTTAGATGTTTATCAGATTTTTTATGATCGATTTTCTTTATTTTATTATAGTGCCACGTGGTAACTTGGGAGTGTTTATAGGATGCTACATGACGGTTTAGAAGTGTTCGTAGGAAGTTTAATAAACTTTTAGTATATAATAGATAGATAGATAGATCGATTACCTTAATACCTTTTATATTTAGACTGCTAAGGTGCTAGTTCAATTCGAAGCCAAAACGCACGAGAGACTAGTAAGAGCACAAGCACGCGCGATTAAGGAGAGAGCATGATAAAATACGTTAAGAAAAGAAGAACCAACAATATGAAACCGAGAACAAAGTGGCGAATTTCTAGCAGCCTAGCACCACTAGCAGATCTTAAGGGTTAATTCGAGTACGCACAACTCTCCTCAAAATAGTGAACATGCTCTGGTTTGTCTTGTGCGTGCAAGATCAGGGGAGAATTAATGATTGTTGATTTATGGATGAGATAAGTTGTGCAAGAGGAATTGGGTTCCTCTATGCTAGGAGGTGCTCATAGCTGTCTGATACATGTACATGAGGTCACACGAGATATGTGTGGTCGGAAATGCTACTGTGCAGGCAACTCTGCCCGGCCATAAGAATCAGGCTTAAATAGTTACTTCCTCCATTTTAAAATATTTATTTAATTTTCATTCATCTCACATTACAAATATAAAATTTCACTAGGAGAGATATAAAATTTTTAGTACTGGTTGAAAGAACCGATGCTAAAGATATACTAAGTCAAAAAAAAAGAAAGATGTGGGATGTAGTATTCGAACCCAAGATCTCACAGCTTAACCCTCACATGCATTACCATCCCACCTACTACGTACTCCCTCCGTCCCAAAAAAAAAGTAAATTTAGGACTGGATGTGACATATTCTAGTACAACGAATCTGGACAGATATATGTGCAGATTCGTTGTAATATGATATGTCACATCCAGTACTAGATTGGTTTTTTATGGGACAGAGGGAGTACATCTAACTTGAATAAAGATGTTTTCTTTTTTAACTAACCCTAGAGACATCTTTAGCACCGGTTAGTAATCCGATCAGGATCTGTAGTTCCGATTAGTGTTACCAACAGGTATTTAAGATGTATTTTTAGTACTTACTCCCTCCGTCCCAAAAAAAAGACAAACCCTGGTTTTCGTGTCCAACGATTGACCGTCCGTCTTATTTGAAAAAATTATGAAAAAAATTAAAAAGATAAGTCACGCATAAAGTATTAATCATGTTTTATCATCTAACAACAATGAAAATACTAATTATAAAAAAATTTCATATAAGACGGACAGTCAAACGTTGGCACGGAAATCCAGGGTTTGCCTTTTTTTTGGGACGGAGGGAGTAGGCTTTAGGCTTTTAGAACTAGTAGTGAAGGGCTTTTTGGGACTAAAGATATTTTTGGGACTTGGTCTTTTAAAACTGGTACTAAAGAACTTTTAGTACTGATTCTTTTAACACATCTGGTATATTTATGGTTTGGGGCATTGGATAAAAGATGAATTTTCTAGTGATTTTTAAAAGACTAAAATACCCTCACTTTCTTAAATCTCAATACAATTTATCATCTATTTTGAATATATTTATTCTCTTTTTTTATAAGCTCTGATACTATGGTTATCTAAAAAAAATATTTTACAACAAATGAAATGAATTAATAAATTTATTGTGAGACAGAGCGAATAAATTGACAGAGGATGACCAGCAAGGGCAACAGTGTAGATTGTGATCGGTGAACACCATATATCCTTAACTTGGTGGAGGCAAGAAAAGATAATTCCTTTTCCGTTATCAACTTTAATATTCGCAATAATCATAACATTATTGTACTACCTGTCAACGACAACTTTTTACTCCACTCTGTAGCAACTCCATGCACTCCGTAGAAGGAGTCACACACTCTCTCAGGCTGTGTTTGATACTTGGGGTTGGGAACCCAACTCCACCGCACAGAAAACGGAGCGGTCCATTAGCGTGTGATTAATTAAGTATTAGTTAATTTTTTTTTTAGAAATAGATTAATTTGTTTTTTTAAAGCAACTTTCGTATAGAAACTTTTTGCAAAAAAATACACCATTTAGCAGTTTGAAAAGCGTGCACGCGGAAAACGAGGGAAAGGGGTTGGGAAACTTGTGGAAAGAACGCAGCCTCACACACACACTAAACAGGAATATTACAGTTTTCTGTTTTAATTAACACTGAATTATTCAGAAGGACAGCGATGCCGTGTCTTCCTAGTGCTTGAGCACGTCGGGAATGTCCACCGGATACCTGTGGATCGACGTGGCCCACGGCCCGTCGTCGTCGCGCGCCGGCGAGATGCACTCCCACGCCGCGCTGTTGCACTTGAAACCGGAGCCGAAGCCGATCATCCACACGCGGTCGCCGCGGCGCATGCGTCCCTTGGCCTCGACGTAGGCCAGCTCGTACCACACCGAGCTGCTCGACGTGTTCCCGAATCGGTGGAGCGCCATCCGCGACGCCTGCACCTGCTCGTCCGAGAGGCAGAGGCTGCGCTGCAGCTCGTCGATCACCGCCCGCCCGCCGGCGTGGATGCAGAAGTGCTCGAACGCCGCGCGGAAGTCCGGGATGTACGGCTTGACCCTGCCGCTGAGCGCCTTCCGCGCGATGAAGGCGAGCGCGAACTTGAGCTGCTCCGACGCCGGCAGGACGAGCGGCGCGATGGCCGTGATGTTGGCCTTGAGCGCGTTGCCGGCGATGGTCATGAGATCCTTGCTAAGGTTGATTCCGATGCTCCCGTGCTCGTCCTCCTCCTGGAACACGCAGTGGTGCGCGCTGTCCTCCGCGCCGGTGAGCGTGCGCACGACGTGCTTCAGCCGGAACCGCGCCTTCGCCGGGGACGTCGACAGCAGCGCGGCCGCGCCGCCCATGCGGAAGAGGCAGTTGGGCAGGAGCATCGCGCGCTCGTTCCCGACGTAGTAGTTGGGCGTGATGGTCTCCGTGGAGACGACGAGCGCGCGCGCGCCATGCGGCGCCACCTGCAGGAGGTTCCTCGCGAGGCCGATGGAGATGAGGCTCGCGCTGCAGCCCATGCCGGACAGGTGCATGCTGCGGATGTCGCTCCGCAGCTTGTACCTGTTCACGATCATGTCGACGAACGACGGCGTGGGGCAGAACAGGCTGCAGTTGACGACGAGTATGTCGACGTCGTCGGGGCTGACGCCGGTCTTGGCGAAGAGCTCGTCGACGGCGGAGAAGACGACGAGGTCGACCTCGGCACGGGCGGCCTCGAGGGTGCAGTACTTGTAGGTCGGGATGTAGTGGTGCGCCGGCGGCAGGCACGTCTCCTCCCCGAGCCCCGACCGCTCGAGCAGCCGCGTCATGAACCGCACGCTGCGCTCGGTGAGCGTGGGCACCTGCCTCGCGTGCTCGAGGAACGTGGCGAAAGGGACGCGGCAGTTGGGCGCCGTGCGGAAGCACGCGTAGTCGACGAGGTACACCGCCCGCGGGCGCATCACGAGGTACACGGTGGCCGCGGCGGCCGGGAGGAAGACGGCCAGGAAGAGGTGCGCGGGCCTGATCAGCTCGCGTAGACGCCCGATCGCCACCGTCGTCGACTCGGCCTCCGGCGCGAGGAGAGCCACCGTGACGAGGGCGCCAGCAGCGGCCGGCACGGCGACGAGGACGTTGCCCATGGCACGGTGGTAGTACTGGTACGTAGCCTTGAGGCTGTCGAGAAAACGTGCAGCCATACTCATGCCGCGCGCTATGCCTACGTTGTACAGTTAAAGTTTGGTTGCTCACCCTTTCGTTGGATGTGTGTTGGTTTGTTGGTTCCCCGGATGTGATCGATATATGGAGGCGAAATTTAAAGCTGCAGCTTCCAGAGCGGTGCGCGTGTGCCGGCTTACTTGTCATGTCTGTCACTTTACTTAGTCACACGGTGTCACTATCTAATTAATACTCCTTTTATTTAAAATACTATAATATAGTAGGGGTTGGATATACTCCCTCCGTTTCATTTTAAGTGGAACCATGAGTTTACGTGCTTAACTTGGATCGTCCGTATTATTTAAAAACTTTTTATAATTAGTATTTTTGTTGTTACGAGATGATAAAATATGAATAGTACTTTATGCGTGACCTATGTTTTTAATTTTTTTAAATAAAATTTTAAATAAGATGGACAATCAAAGTTGAGCACGAAAAAACATAACTGTATTTAAAATGGGACGGAGGGAGTATTATACTAGTACGAATCTGAATTAAGTATTAAAATATATCATATTTTGTATTAGATTGTCATGTTAAGGAGTAATGGAGCGGTGGTTATAACAGGAAGATTTTTTCCATTTAATTATTAGCGTGTTGGCTGATAAGCTTGATGAGTCCGCTACCTGGCCTGCTAGCAGAATTCGTTGCGCACTGTACTGCGTTATTGTACGTATACGCTTGTGGTCGATGATTAGCTGGCAAATAACACTAGTGGAGAAACCCTTTGTACCTTTGTAGTCCTGGTTTGTAACCCCCATTTAGTCCCGGTTTTTAAACCGGGAGTACCAATCCGGGACTAAAGAACGTTATCTTTAGTCCCGGGTGGAATAACCGGGACTAAAGATCGATTTTTAGTCCCGGTTGGTAACACCAACCGGGACTAAAGATGGCTCAGCCATGTGGCCGACTGAGCCATCTTTAGTCCCGGTTGGTGTTACTGACCGGGACTAAAGATCGAGCTGACTTTTTTTTTTTGCATGGCCCTGTTGCTGCATGGTTTATATATATATATATAAACCATGCATATATATGTTTCAATACATATATATATATGTATATATATATATATACGTATGTATATATATACACGTATGTATATATATATATATACGTATGTATATATATATATATATATATACGTATATATATATATATACGTATATATATATATATACATACGTATATATATATATATACGCGTATATATATATATATATTATATGTATATATGGTTCAGTACATATGTACATGCATAATATATATGTATTTATACATATATATGTTATGCAAATGCATATGTGTGTATATATATATATATATATATATGACCAAAATATATTTACATTATAGAAAATGTGTACACATGCATATAGAAACATATGTAGTCATGTATTAATTACAATCCATTATATGTCTTAGCTAGCTACGATTTCGACGTAGCAGTAGTACTCGCTGCTAGCTCAGAAGCTAAGGACCGGTGAATTGTGTTTCCGTCATAGTAGAATTCACCCTTGGGATCAAGGATTTCTTCGTTGATGAATCCCATGAGTTGTTCTTGAACCGCCACGATAAATTCCTTGTGTGTGGTCAGGTTATCCCTCATGCGAATAAACTATATGAATGTATGAAATTGATTAGTAATTAAACAAGAAATCGTTACGTAATGAAATTTTGAATTTATTTGTACGTACATCAAGCTCTCTTGTGGTGATGATTTGGTCTGCAAGGCAGTGGCAATACTCGCACACGTAGTAGCCGCACAAGTTAGTTCTCTGCTTTTGCTTTGCGCACTACAAATAAATGACAAATTAACGGTGTGAGATCTAATTAATATACACTTGTATGTATTAATTTGAATCGGAGAAATATAAATGTAGAGCATGCGTACTCACAGGAAATTTGAACCTCCGCCTAAGTCTTTCTCTCCAATTGCCGTGGACCAAATGACGGAACCGATACCAAGCCCTACATGGAGTTTAAAGTTATGATTCGTAGTAGAAATAATTAACATAACAAGAATTTCTTAATTAACAGAGGAACTTATACCAGTACCTGTCTATAAGTTCGAAAACCTTGTCAAACGTAGACTCTTTTTTATCCATTGAGTCATATACGTTGACGGTGCAGGCCGACAGGTCGAAGAGTAAAAGCACCCAGTGAAATCTGCAATGTGCGTGGGATGCATTATGTAACACCCCGATTTTCGTTGGGGAATAAAAATCAATTAATAATGCATTTCCTAGAAATTAAATAAAAAGTTAATCAATTTAATCAAGTGAAATTATAGAGGAAATTAAAATTTCCTTTAAAAATCATTGGCCGGGAATATTTTGTAATATTCTTTGTGCCCTAATGTACTCTCCGGAATTTTCCGTGAATTTTCGGAGCTCGAGAAATAGTTTCAATAGCACCAAGATCATTGCATCAATTAAAATAAAGAGAAAACAAATAAAATCCTCCCTCCTCTCTTTGGGCCCCTTTCGGCCCAATTTCCTCCCCCTCCTTCCTCTCCCGCGGCCCGCGCGCCTCCTCCCTCTCTCGGGCCGGCTCCCTTCTCCCTTGGCCCGCTCGCAAAAGTCTGTTTTGCGTCCCTCCTTCTGTCCCTTCGCCGACAGGTGGGACCGGCGGTCCCACCCGTCAGCTCCTCCTCCTACCTCTCGCCGGCCAACGCCAACCGCCATTGCCGCCCACGTCGCCGCAAAATCCGGCGCCCTCCCGCACCCGAGCTCGCATCCAACCACATGGACACGACCCCCTCCACGTCCTCCACCTTTTCCCCCACTCACCCCGCAAGAAATGGCGCCGGTTTGACCTCCCCACGAGCTCCACTTCACCTCCCCACTTCGCCGGCCGATTCCGCCGCTCCCCGGCCCTCTCCTCGCCCCTTGAGCTATAAAATCAATCCCCGTGGCCTCCTCTTCCTTTTTCCCCGTTTTCCCGAGTCCCCCACGCCCTCTACCGAGCTCTCCACGCCGATCCCCATCGCCGCCGCTCGCCGGCGATCTCCAGCCGCGCGCCGCCGCTGCTCCCGCCGTCGCCGCGCCTCACCACGTGTGCCATCAGCTTCGCCATCCCGCGCCGCACGCCGGCCTCCACTCGGTTTCCTTCAACCGCCATCGGAACCACCTCCCCACCGTGTAACCTCTCTCCGCCGCTTGCCGCCGAACTCCGGCCGCCTCTCCTCGCCACGCTAGCCACCGCCAAGCCGCGCCACCGCCACAGTCGGCTTCGCCGCTCCAAGCCGAGCACCGGCCACCGCCTCGTTCCTCTAATCCACCACCGAGCCGCCCTCCCCACTACCAACCAGAGCCACCGTCGCCATTTCCGCCTCCGGCCGCGCCGCACCGCCTCTTCAGTCCGCCCCGTGTTGTGCCGTCGCCCTCCGCGGTACCGCAGCCATCATCCGTGGCTCAGCAATCCCTCCGTGTTCGCCGGTCGTCGCCGGACTCATCTCCCCGTGCCTCCCGGTGAGCTCCGTCGTCATTTCGGTCGGCGTTTCCCGCCGCACCGCAACTCCCTACCCTCTCCTAACCTCTTCATTTCCTTCCCTAGGTCCCTCCGACCATCGGCCGCCGGTTCCTGCTCACGGAACGCCGCCGAACCGCCATCGCCGTTGCCTCCCCGAGGAGCGCCGCCGCCTCTTCCCGCCGCCGGCGACCTCCCGCTCTGCCTCGTCGGCCCGCACGCTCGGTGAGCCCCTCCTCCCGCTCCCGTTCCCTTTCGCGTGCATCGCCACTGCCCGTGAGCGCCACCGTCTTCCGGCTGCTCGCCGCCGTTCGGCGCCGCCGGCTGCTGCCTCCGGAGGCTGCACGCTGCCCAGCACCACGGCTCGGCCGAGCCGATTTCATGCCGTGCCCGTGCCCCAGCCGCGCCGCCTCGTGGCCGTCCGATCGGTTTTGGGCCGATCCGGGCCGTCGGTTCCCGTGGACCGGCGGTGGATCGCCTCGGTGGTCCCGGTCCACGGTGGACCGGCGCCCTTGTGCCGCTGACCGGTGGGGCCCGCTTGCCGGCGCTGCCCCTCCCCTTTGATGACGTCAGCGAGGTCCATTTCCTTTGTAAAAATAAATAATAATTGCGCAATAATTCGTGAATAATTATAGAAATTCATTTAAATGGCTCAAAACCTTGTAAAATTCATATCTAATTCATTCGAACTCCGAATTGAGCCATTCAACTTGCAAAATTCATCTAAAATTGAGCTCTACATGTTTGTTTAGTTTTTATGTACTGTTTTCTTGGTTTTTATTAGAGTTTTTCCTCGTTTTGCATGCCAGCGTGTAGTTCCCGTCGTTTCGGAAGATCGCGTTCGCAAGGATAAGAGTTCAGAAGATCCAAGTGAAGAAGCAAGGCAAGTCACACATTCCCCTTGAGCATGTTGATCCCAATTTACAAATGTTTTACTGTTTGCAAATAAATATGCATGTTTTGCTAATTACATGGGGTCAGGGTTTTACCTATCTGCTCGCTTGTGCCATGTTTACTTGATATCTGTTCTTTGTCAACCTTGGGTAATAAATCGCCTAGCTTGTGTTACTTTGATGACCTAGCTAGAACTATATGCTTAGCCATGCTTAATTACCACTAGCTCAGTCGATGGGATAATTGCAGTATTAGACATTCTAGTATCTTGTTGAGCTGCGTGCTCGAGACATCTGGCCATGCTTCATGGACGTAATTATCCAACTAAAACGCGACTGAATGATGGGCTGTGGGTGCATGGTTTTGCTGGTCGCACCCATGGCAGTTAAGGACCGGTTCGCGGGATACCCTGGAAGAACTTATCGTACTTACCACAAGCCAGCGTGGGCAACGGCTAGGCTTGTAGTGTAGCTTTTCTCTAGCCGACGTACCCAGGCGAGGGTGGGCGTGATGGAGTTGGGTCGGCCGGGGTGTCCGGTTGATCGGCTTCCGGATTCACCGCGGCACGAAAGGGGGGCTGCCCGTTGCCTGCTGGGGACGGGGGCGAACCCTAAGGTGTAGTGCGATCGGTTAGAGAGGGTTATGCGAAGGGTCCTGTCACGGCCTCTTTCCGGTATGTCGTGGTGGCATGTCGGCGCACGGGAACGTGTCGTGG